TTTGTTTGTTTGTTTGTTTTTTCCTGAGACACAATCTTACTTTGTCACCCTGGGTAGAGTGCCATTATATCATCCTAGCTCACAGCAACCCCAAACTCTTGGGCTTAAGCAATTTTCTAACCTTAGACTCCCAAGTAGCTGGGACTACTGGCACCCTCCACCATGCCTGGCTAGCTTTATTATTATTATCATTTAATTTTTTGAAGAGACTGGGTCTTGCCCTTGCTCAGGCTGGCCTTGAACTCCTGAGCTCAGGCAGTCCACGCTCCTCAGTCTTCCAGAATACTAGAATTACAGGTGTGAGCTACTGAACCTGGAAATCATTTTATTTCCTTGGAATTGGAGTGATCCACAGTAAGAAAACAGTTCCCACATGGTGGGATTAGTAAGAGAGTGAGAGAGACTGTGAGGTGTGCTCAATATATTGCAGTCACACCTCCACATGGGTGTGAAATCCAGCAGAGAATGTTTACTCTTGAGGTGGAAGAATCTGAATTACTGAGGTAGGAGATGTAAATGAGTACTTGGCTCCTCATGGCAAAGACATCTTTATTTGGGTTAAGTGTAAGCCAGGGGCTGGAATTTTGTTTTATTTATTGTTGCATCCTTAACTTCAAGATCATTTTCTGACCTACATAAGGTTTTCAAAGAACATTTGATGATTGAATGACTATCCTTTACTCTCTTCTTATGAGCATCATTTTCTAGATGAATGTCATTTTATTTAGACATTAAAATATAGGAATGGCATACCACTGTTTCCTGGCCTGACATATCTTACCTGGAAAAAGGAAACCCACTTTGCAGCAAACACTTTTGCTCTTTCCAAAGTAAATTAACGTTTTTTATCAGGCTAGATAAAACGTGATTTACGGACCTAGAACAAGAGCTGGGTTTATTTTTCTACTGAAGCCTGTTATCTTGAATGATTTCCCCCTTCAGTTACCATTTCAAATACCAGATGAAGATGCAATTCCTGGAAGTATATAAAAAGCACAATAAAATAAATCACAACCAAGCTTAAAAGCATTTTTGAAAGCAGAAATTAAAATGAAGTGTAGATTCTTCACCAGAAGCAAATAATAATTGAGGGATATTTGCATTCTATGGTTTTTAACTAGATTGATTTTATATATTAGGTGTGACATGGTCTAGTTATCTGTCATTAATATCAAAACAACAGTACAATATTGTCAAATGGCTGAATAAACTAATGAAATGAGTAAAGGGAGAAAAACAGGCTAAGGTCCAGTCTCTGCTGTAAAAGATGATTGTAATATACTTTTCCTACATCACTGGCTCCAGTATCACTATTTGGAGGATAAAACAAATCTTATAGAATAAGAGAATTCAACACAAATCTTTAATCAAGTCATTTCTAGAGAAGCTACAGTTTAGAAAAAAAAGGCAGGAATCAAACCTGACTTTCTCAATTCCTGATGGTAAATTATTTTGTCCTACTTGGTTGGTCTCTGTCATTCATCTTGTCCCCAAGCCACACATTTCCAGAACAAATTCTATCCTTGATGAATTCAGAACACCAGTTCAGCAGACACAGCAGACAGTTACTAGAACAAGTTGCACAGCTTATTTTTTGTCTTTTTGCTGTTTTAAATGTTGTGTATTTGCCTGTTTTATTCCCTGTATACACTGATAATATGCAATATGCTTTTAATAGCCATATAGTAAAAAGCAATTATTAGAATAATAAAAGAGGATTAAAAAAACTGAAGACATGCAGACTATGGTTCTGACAGTTGGTATACTAAAATTTTATAGACTTATTTACCATAAATAAATTAACTTTTAATTAAATATAATTCAACCAAATAAAGTATGAGGAAATAAAAAAAGTTAAAAAATACATCTATTCCTGGGAAGTATATTTACAGGTGTTAAGTCTGGCAGTTAGTTAGACATAAGCAGGGTGGATAGTGGATGTCAGGCTATTTAGTGCTGGCTTTGGGTCAGGGTGACCTGGGCTATTACAGGAGCAGGGCCAGTCAAGACCTTGCAGGTGGCTGGTTATAGGGAGCAGATTTTGTTTGGAAACTGATTAATATTCCAGGGACTTTCTGACAAGCACAGACACATCTGGTCAGACTGATTTGGGTTATTTTGGGAATAGCCTGATTAGGACATGGCAAGCTTCTAAGAAGCAGCTGACACCCTCCAAAAGTTGTGTATAAAACCCAAGCACTGTGTACTCCAGGATGGCTGCAGTCACCAGGATGGGGCCAGGCTTGAAATCCAAGCTGTTAAAATAAACTTTTCTTGCTAAAACTTTACTTTGTCTTGCTCTCTTCAAATATTTTGGCAACTACCTTGAGCTGTCACCACACTGCTCTAACATGGGGATTAGTATAGAGAACTATATATGCACTAACAACTTTTTGTTGTTGTTTAATAATAACTGAATAAAAATTATAATGTAAATTTTGATTTCCCATATTGGTGTGTATATATAATTTTTAACACACTGATATTTTAATGTTTAAAATTTTTAATATGACCAATGAACTTAGTTCTTGTTTATTAAAACATCTTATGTAGGGGATTAACAACATGCTCTTAACACAAATTTATATACATATACACTTTTATGTTTTATTTTTAAAAATGTGGTGGAGATATCTTTGGTGCCATCTTTCAGAAATGTGCTGACAGGAATGGAAAAGTAAATGAAATTTAAAGTGATTTTTGAAGGTCCACGACTTTATTTTTAACTTTTATCCACAAAGAATCAAAAAAATGCTAAAATTTTGAATTCATTTTTAGTATCTTAGAAGCTCATTCTAATTAATTGTAATGTAAAATGATAATTAAGTTTAAATTATCTTTCAACGACATAAGTTCTGAATCCATGAATTCCTGTCCATTGATTTTCTTTTGATGGGAAATAATTCTCAAAACATTCTATCAGATTCAGAGTGTTTATGCACAACTTTCAACAGGTACGTGACTTAGATCACCACTTAGTTAATTCAAAATTTTTGTGAAATTATAGACCATATCACAGCAATCCATAGAAATTCTTCTGCTCTTCATAGGTTTTTTACTTTTCTCTTTGATCTTATCTTCCATTGAAAAAAACATATTTAATTATTTCCTTGTATGGATACATTCATACAATTTAAAGTGTCAAAGATATCAGATAATATCTTACCACCTCATCTACTTATTTACACTTGTTTCTTTCCTATCTTATGGGAATACCAATGGGCCATACATTCAAATATTCTTTTTTTTAATTTAATTTTTATTTTTTTTATTAAATCATAGCTGTGTACATCAATGCAATCACGGGGTGCAGTGTGGTGTTTTCATATACACCTTGAAATACTCTCGTCAATGTGGTTAATGTAGCCTTCCTGTCATTTTCTTAGTTACTGAGTTAAGACATTCATACTCCGCTTTTGGAAAGAATCACTTGTACCCTTGTAGGATAAACCATAGAGGTGACCCCATCAATCACCCTCCCTCCCCCATCCACCCCCCCTTCCCTCCCCTTTCCCACCCCTTCCCATATTCTAAGGCTATAATTAGGTTATAACATTCTATGAAAGCTATAAATCAGTTTCAAAGTAGGGTTGTGTACATTGGATACTTTTTCTTCTATTCTTGAGATACTTTGCTAAGAAGAACATTTTCCAGCACCATCCATGTAAACATGAAGGAGACAAAGTCTCCATCTTTCTTTAGGGCTGCATAATCCATGGTGTACATATACCACAGTTTATTGATCCATTCGTGGATCGATGGGCACTTTGGCTTCTTCCATGACCTGGCAATTATGAATTGGGCTGCAATAAACATTCTGATACAAATATCTTTGTTGTAATGTGATTTTTGGTCTTCTGGATATATACCTAATAAAAGAATTGCAGGATCAAAGGGCAGGTCTATTTTTAGTTCTCTAAGTGTTCTCCAGATGTCTCTCCAAAAGGAACAATTTAATTTGCATTCCCACCAGCAGTGTAGAAGTGTTCCCTTTTCTCCATATCCATACCAACATCTCTGGTTTGGGGATTTTGTGATATGGGCTAATCTTACTGGAGCATTCAAATATTCTTGATAGAATTTTTGCAAATGATAATGATCATGCCTCAGTAATGGATAACATTTGTTTAAATGGTTTTCTGTATTATCAAATGATGATAATCTAAAATTCAAGGTATTATAATTCATAAAACTTACAAATTTTACATTGACACTATGATGCTTAGCTCTCTTCATGGTGATTGGTGATACTTTCTCAGTGGAAGAAATCTTATATTGATCCTCATTTTGACACAAGCACCATAATCTGGTTAACCACCCACAACATTTTCTTGTCAATATATCTATGTCATTTGAAGATATGCCTCTGGAATACTCAAAGTTCAAGGTACATTTACTGACAATGTAGTGTAGTTTTGTGTCATTTGGAGTTAGCTGTGTTTGTCAGAATCAAAACTGAGAAAAAGAATTTTCCTTCATTTCATGATCATGTTCAAATAACACATGGTATGACTTCTGTCTTGTTGTGGGTTCAGAAGATTACCTTGCATGTGCAGAGCCACCCTGGGTTTCTAAACAAGCATGTCTGATGCAGCTTTTGGCAATGATGTTCTGGCAATTGTACATGGTTAGCAACTACATTATAGAAACAAACGCTTTGTACAGGAATCTGTAAAGCACCAGTGTTCACATGTGAAATATTGAACATTTGCTCTATTTACTCTTTAATGCAATGCTCTTTCTTTCAGATAAATCTCTGGATTCAGAACTATTTATTCTGTCCTCATTAACACAGTTTACATTTTAGTGGTTCATTGCCTTATTAGACAGTGTATCTCAAAAAAAATCATACTCTGCTTTTAGCATTTGGCCTCAATTATGGTTTTATAACAATACTCAAGCCATGAAGGATCATACTGACAAATAAAAATAGGAATAACAGAACAAAAAATCCACCTCATTGTAAATGCATGGATTAACTAGAGTAAGAAGTGGGGAAGGTGCTCCCTTCAGCAGCACATATAGTAAAATTGAAATGATACAGGGAAGATTAGCATGGCTCTGTGCAAGGAAGACATGCAAATTCGTGAAGCATTCATATTTAAAAGAAAAAAAAAAGAATTGGGGAAGAAGGAGCTAACCTAAGTTACTTTGCTAATCAGTATCTTGGCTTAGATACTCCAAGTCAAAAATCAAAACAAACTATATAGAAATATTGTACTCTGATCAATACATTTATTTCTTAAAAAGGTATAGGCTGGTAATTTTGAACTTGCTTAATGCATATGCTAGGATTGAACAAATAAATAAGTATGCTGAAGATGATGAGAGACGGATGTCTCACTGTCAGAGAAAAAAGTTACAGATTATGCAAAAGGGAAGGCTCCTGTGAGCCCTGATTGTGGATTGTAATTAGAGATTTAGGTGTGAATGGAAAGAGAGACAGTAGTAGAAATGGATAAAGATGGTGTCTGTGTGTTAGAGGCAAGAGACAAAGAGAAAACACAGCATCTTCATGGGCCTTGCCCACCCTCATAAACATGAGTGCACCAGGGGTAGGTGTAGCAGCCTGTATCGCCTATGGCTAGAGGAGTGAGAGATCAGCCTTATATTAGGCTGGAGGAGAAGGCAGTCAAAAGGCATGTGCATTCTGTCACAGATCTACTTACTCTGACTCTGTCTCCTCTCCTGCCTGCAGAACATCAGCACTGCATCTCCCTGCTGAAGATTAAGAAGACTGCTTTACTCTAAGATACTCTGTCTCTCTCCGGCTAAAGTAAATAGCCCTCAAGCACCTAAGAGAAACTGTTCCTGAGCAAGGTAGCTTATTGGTCCGTGTCCAGAACCTACCTAATCCAGGCCAGAGACCTGGCCAGTCCCAGGCCCTGACAGGTAGGAATCTCAGAAGTCTGTGGGGAGGGATAACTACACAGAAGAAAACTTTGAGTAAACATACTTAATAGTAAAATATGGGTAGCTTGTTCCCTGATATCAGAAATGAGACCAGAAAGCTTATTATAGCCACCTGAATTAAACATTTTACTGTTTAATGGTCTTAGGCTATCCTATAAGTCAAAAAATGAAATCAAATTTATAAGGATTTTAAGTGAAGACATAAAAACATTATACAATTTTAGTCAAAAAACATGAAGAAATCTCTTTAGTTATTTATGAACAAACTATGAGAATAAACAGACATTATATTTAGGAGAATAAATGACATTAGTAATATCATTAGATATGATATTATTAAAGATATTAGCAATTACAAAATGACTTAATGTTCTAGCACTTAAAATTGCATTAAGAAACGTCACTCACCTACCAAAAAATCAAAAGAAAAATATAAGATTTCTATGCAGAAAAAGATATAACATCATTATTTTATATATTTTACATGATTTTATTCTATGAAAGTATTTCCATATTATATGTATATATTAAAATGTATATTTTTATATATTACATCAATATGAATGTTTTAATGTATTCTTTGTATTACATTAATGTATATTATATATAATGTATTATTTAAATTCTACAATTATTATATATGACAATATATATGACTATATATATATTATTATATATTATGATACCTAAAATCTTAAAGTGAAAAGCATATAATTTTCATAATCTAGAAGACCAATATTATAGAAATATCAATTCTTTCCTAATAATTTATATTTCCAAATAAATCCTAATAAAAAGCTAATCAGTTTTTATTTGTGTTTGTGGAAAATAAGAAGCTCCATATGAAAATGGAGACTGGGTACAGTGGCTCATGCCTGCAATTCCAACACTCTCAGAGGCCAAGGTGGGTGGATTGCCTGCGCTCACAGGTTTGAGACCGGCCTGAGCAAGATTGAAACCCCATCTCTAAAAATAGCAGGGTTTATGATGGGCACCTTTAGTCTCAGCTACTCAGGAGGCTGAGGCAAGAGAATCACTTGAGCCCAAGAGCTTGAGGTTGCTGTGAGCTATGACACAATGACACTCTACTGAGGGTGACAAAGTAAGACTCTGCCTCAAAAAAGAAAGAAAAAAAGAAAGAAAAGAAAACATATGAAAATGCAAAAACACAAAGATTGTTAAATGCATATTGAAAAAGAATGATGCTCAAGTACCTACACTACTCAATACCAAGATGTATTTATAAGGTAGTGTTAATCAACACATTGTCACATTGGCCCATAGTAGCAAATAAACCAACAGAACCATAGATTTCAGAAACACATCCACCCAGTGAACATTTTTATTAATGTCATTCATGTCATTAATTAACAACCTTAGAGAGTAGACAAAAGAAAAAAAGGTGTTTAACCATTGTTTAACAAACAAACTAATGGTTGTTTGACCATTTGGCTATTGGTCAAAAAGATAATCATATGAAAAAATAATTTAACCTTCACCCCTATGTTACATCATATATGCAAATTAATTACATGAAAAGGATAAATCTAAATATTTGTTTTTAACTAATAATATTTCTAGAAAGTTACTTAAGAGAATATTGTCTTGATCCTGGAAGAGACAAATCTTTTTAAAGCAAGAAAAAAACCCTGCAGATTAAATTACTAGTAAATTACAGCACATTGAAATCAGAAATTTATGTTTATTAATTTGTATGGATGAGGGGAAAATTGCCCTATCCCCCAAAAGTTCCTGAAAAGGTCAACTCATGATTAAGACAGATTGATAAGAGAATGGTTTACTTACCATGCACATGGGAGAACCAAAGAGTCATTCCCAGCATCCCAATGAAGTTTATATGTTTTTATACCTGTCCTTTCAGAGGGGAGGAGACATGAGGAGTGCAGGTTATTCTGCTGGGGGAATAAATGGTGCTAGGGAGGATGAATGGATGGGGGAGACAGATGGACTTGTAAATTAACCTGAGAGACAAGTTATGTATTTAAATAATCTGGGCCAGATTTGATTGTATTCTTGACCCTCTTTCCTTCAATCTATTGAGATGACAGGGAGAGGAAAGGAACTCCATTGCTATTTTGATTTATGCAGATAAAGGGCAAGTCCAAGGGCTTGTTAATTTCTACGAGTCTTTTATTCAAAATGTTCTTTATACAAAGGAGTTGTATTCTGGGGTGAAATTTCCTGAGTTTCTTTAATGGACACTTTGAGAGAAACAGACTAAACATGGGTTATTGGAAGATATTAGCCTTAGATATAACAAAATGAGCTTTTATCAAGAATGTACAATTAAATACTTCACACAAATAATTAAATGATGTGTATCCTAACAGAAAAACAGGCAGCAGACTTCAACAAGCAGTTCAAAAAAGGGGAGAGGTGAGAATACCAAAAAGGTGAACAAACATATAAGCTCCTCCTTAATCATCATGGAAATTAAAAACAAAATAAGGATGTCATGACAGACCAACAGAATGGTGAACATTAGAATGAGTGGCAATACTCATTTGCTGCTGGCTGAGCTTGTGGAGACAAAGAAATCAGATATACTCTTTCTCATGTTAGTGTTAGTGGGGTCGACCAATTTAGAAGCTGGCTGGGAATTATCTACCAAGTGGAACATGCACACTGTATGGCACAGACATTGCATTACTAGTACATATCCTAATACAGAAGAGTTAGCACTCTGTAATCCAATACAAATTGTAATTAACAGTTTGTAATTGGTAGGTTTGTAATTCATCTATCTTCTTGGATCAACCAAGGAACTGCTGACTCAGAACAAACATCCTTGCAAATATGATAGTATTATTTCCCTTGCAGATAAACTACTGACGAGGAACTGTTTAGTCTAAAAATCACTTTCATTAGCATATTCCTGATATGAAAAAAATGTATTGATTTTAACTAAACCTGGAATTTGTGAAATTTTAGTATATAAATTTATGCAACAAACATAAATCTGTGAACAGAAGTTTGTCATCTAATCTCTTTATCCCCATGAGTAGCCAAGTATAAAAGCAATGAGCCTCAAATCTAAAGGGCTTCACCTGCTGTGACCTGGAGTCCAGACTTGATTAACTCTCGTCTATTATTCTAAAACCAGAATAAGCCACAGTTCAGAAAGAGAAATACTTTTATCCTGCCCATAAAGGATTTATTCCTTAGACTTCATTTTGCTTATGCTCTTTGAATCATACAAAGTTTCATGTTGGGGAAGATCTATGGTTGAGAATTTATTTCAACATTTAATTTGTAGAGACACAGATTGGTGTCTGTGGTGGGATTGTTTTTCAGGCCCACAAATTAGAGCTATGAACTAAAATAAAATCTTAAGGCTCCCCCTAAGGCAACCGACTCACTGGACCCCTTCTTAGCCAAGGGATCACACTCTAAAACTGAGTTGCTAGTGATGAAATAGGAGATCAGACATGCCTTGTCCTGTCCCCCTCACTTCTTAGAGATGTCCTTTGTGACTTATGAACACACCTAGGGCTATGTAAGACTTACCTTCAGGTCCTCAATATGCACAACAAACCACTTGGGTGTTGGCATATGTGCCAAGGGGAACTTTGTCTCTGATTAACAGACAGAGTTAATAGCATTAACTCTTATCTTAGCATTTCTTTTCTGTGACTCTTGGACTATTAGACAGAGCTTAACTCTTTCAGCCAATTGTCAACTAAAGAATCTTTAAACCCACCTATAACCTCTAAGCCTCACTTAGAGACATCCCACATTTTCAGGCCAAATCAATTCACATCTTCTATGTATTGATTTGTGATTTTCCCTGTAATTCCTGTCCCCCTGAAGTGCATAAGCAAAACTGTAACCCCACCACTGTGAGTCCACTTACTCAAGGATTTGTGGGTGTGGTTTTGAGTCATGGTTGTTAAATTTGGCTCACAATAAACTTTTTGCAACTGTTTTACAGAGTAAAGCTTCTTTTCCTTTGACAAAGCAATGGCACTTTCTGGCTAAAAGCACATGAAGAGAGGAAACTGTGGTGAGGAGTTAGGAGCATCTGGTGTTAGGAACGTCTCCTATAGGCAGCCTTGGTAAAAGGTGATGCATAAGCTTATTGTCAGTTATGGGGGATAATTCCTTACCTATGAAATTTTGGAGAGACAGAGTTTGAGAGATCTATTTCTGTAGACAGAAAAGGAATTACAAAG